ATCTCAATAGATGCAGAGAAAAAATTTGACAAGATTGGCATCAATTTATCACAAAAACTCTCAACAAAATGTGTATAGAAGGAAAATACCTCAATGTAATGAAGGCCATATACCAGTCAGTGGCATAGTTATTAAGTTCACGTGCTCCACTTCAGTGGCCCAGGGTTCGCTGGTTCAGACCCCAGGCATGGACCTACATACCACTCAACAAGCCATGCTGTGGTGGCATACCATATACAAAACAGCAGAAGATTGGCAAAGATGTTAGCTCAAGGATGACCCTACTTATCAAAAAAAAAAAAAGAAAAGAATAAAGGCCATATAAGACAAACACCTATCTAACATCGTACTCAATGGTGAAAAACTGAAATCTATCTCCCAAGAACAGGAACAAGACAAGGATGCCTGCTTTTGCCACTCTTACTCAACATAGTATTGGAAATCCTGACCAAAACAACTCGGCAAGAAAGGAAATAAAAAGTATCCAAATTCTGAAGGAAGAAGTAAAACTGTCACTATCTGTGGATGCCATGATTATATATATAGAAAACCCTAACGAATGCACCAAAAAACTCTTCAAAAAAATAAGTGAAAATAGCAAAGTTTTAGGGTACAAAATCAACATATAAAAATCAATTGTGTTTCTACACACTAGCAATGAACAAGACGAAAGAGAAATCAAAAATACAATTCCATTTACAATTGCAACAAAAAGAATAAAGTACCGAGGAATAAATTTTATCAAGGAGATGAAGATCTATACACTGAATACTGTAAGAAATCGTTGAAAGAAATTGAAATGGAAAGATATTCTGTGCTCATGTATTGGAGGAATAAACATAGTTAAAATGTCCATATTACCTAAAGCAATCTACAGATTCAGTGCAATCCCAATCAGAATCTCAACGACATTTTTCAAGGAAATAGCACAAAGAACCCTAAAATTTATATGGAACAACAAAAGACCCTAAATAGCCAAAGTAATCCTGAGAAAAAAGAACAAAGCTGGAGGTATCATGCTTCTTGAATTCAAAATATACTACAAAACTATAGTAATCAAAAGAGCATGGTACTGAACAAAAACAGACACACAGATCAATGGAACAGAATCAAAACTCTGGAAATAAGACCACGTATCTGTGGACAGCTAATCTTTGACAAAGGAGCCAAGAGCAAGCAATGGAGAGAGGAAAGTCTCTTCAACAAATGGTGCTGGGAAAACTGGACAGCCACGTGCAAAGCAATGAAAGTAGGCCATTCTCTTACACCATACTCAAAACTAACTCAAAATGGATTAAAGACTTAAATTTACGACATGAAACTCCTAGAAGAAAACATAAGCAGTACACTCTGACAACAGTCTTAGCAGTATCTTTTTGAATACTATGTCTCCTCAGGCAAGGGAAACAAAAGAAAAAATGAACAAATGGGACTACATCAAACTAAAAAGCTTCTGCATGGCAAAAGCAACCGTCAACAAAATGAAAAGACAACCCATCAAATGGGAGAAAATATTTATAAATCATATATCAGATAAGTGGTTAATTTCCAAAATATATAAAGAACTCATACAATTAACAATAAATGTGAAGAAACTGATCAAAGGATGGGCAGAGGATCTCAACAGACATTTTTCCAAACAAGACAGACAAATGGCCAACAGGCACATAAAAGATCTTCAACATCACTAATTATTAGGGAAATGTAAATCAAAGCAAGCATGAGATATCATCTCACACCAGTCAGATTGGCTATTTTTAAAAAGAAAATGAATACCAAGTTTTGGAGAGGATGTGGAGGAAAGGGAACCCTCACACACTGCTAGAGGAAATGTAAACTGGGGCAGCCACTATGGAATATAGATGGAGGTTTCTCAAAAAATTAAAAATGGAAATATCCTATGACCTATCTGTTCCACTTCTGGGTATTTATCCAAAAAACACAGAAACAGTAATTTGAAAAGGTATATATATCCCTATGTTCATTTCAGCATTATTGACAATAGTCAAGACTTGGAAGCAACCAAAGAGCCCATCCACGAATGAATGGATAAAAAAGATGTGGTATATATATACAATGGAAAAGTATTCAGCCACAAAAATAGATGAAATTGTGCCATTTCTGACAACATGGATGGACCTTAAGGGTATTATACTAAGAGAAAAAAGTCAGAGAAAGACAAGCACTATATGATTTCACTCATATATGGAAGATAAACAAACAAACAATAACATAGATAAGAAGAACAGATTGGTGGTTATTAGAGGCGAAAGGTATAGTAGGAGGGCAAAAGGGATAAAGGAGCACGTATATATGGGACAATGAAAACTAGACTTTTGGTGAAGAACACAGTGCAGTCTATACAGAAGCTGAAATACAATAATGTATGAAATTTACACAATGTTACAAACAACTGTGATCTCAATAAAATAGTAGAAATAATAATAACTAATAAAAATAAATCTCAGTCAATGGCAAAAAAAAAGAACTGAGTATTTTTACTGCTATCTGTAACACTTCCTATCTGTACAACTTAGTGAAAAAGACATTTTCAACCTAATAAGTGATGCTGAGCACCCCAAGCATGAACATTGTCTCTAACTTGGCAGACGGGATGAGGAGGAATCAAGAGAGAAAACAGTTTAGTTTTGTAAAGAAGGCAAAAGTTGTTAGAGAAAAGGAAAGAAAAAGTGATCCAGACAGAGCCCATTACAGGCCTTTCTAATCGCCAAATTTCACATATGGTCTCTAGGTGCTCAATAATATGCAGAGAGAGTTTCAATATTTTAAAAAATGTGAATTCTTTTTCAAAATAAATGTTAAAATAAAATTCAAAAGTTATGAATGTTTTTTACTAGACAATTTGAGGACTACAGAAATCACATAGAAAAAATATCCATGATCCCAGCATCCAGAGATGGCCACTCCAGAGTTGTGCCCTTTCCTCTGAACACATTCTCAGGGCAAAAAAAAGAGCCCCCAAGACAAAACAGCCAACATTGGATTTCAGGGGGCCTTCACAATTGTTGAATCGTGATTTTTACAAGATGACTCTCAGGTTACAGACATCACTTTCCCACAGTAACAGAATGTGTGAGGAGACGGGTGATAGACGTGTTACATGAAAACAGTGATTTTGAAGAATTTCTTGGATTTTCTTCAGCATGCGTTAGATAGTATAATGTTGCTTTTATTACTCAGAGTCATTGTGTCTTACCCAATTCAGGTCGAAAGGAAAGTAAGTTGAGCCAAAATCATCAGGATCTTTCTGGCATCCAAGTACACAACATCCCCCACGCACTAGGTAATGTGAGCACCACAATAATAATCAAAATATTCATCTCACTTCAACAGATATTACCTGAGTCCCCACTATACTCAGTGCTGTACATTCTAGAAGTTGCTTTCAGTGTTTCTATGAATCAGCAATTTAAACCACCATTCAATTTGCAAACATTCACTTAGGACAGGGCTGGTTTCCTCTGGCTGATTTGCCTTTGGTGAGTGTGGTCAAAGTGTCCTTGGGGAAGCTCACCTCAGCCTAAAGAAGAAGGGCAGGAGGAGGAAATGACTTCCAACATGGACTTGTTTTCCCAAAGAGGCGGTGTGCTCCAAGTATAAGGCCACTGTCCTCCCAAATGTGTGTAAATCAAAGGGATTGTAGAAGCACGATTGAAAACTTAGATTTAAATTGATTTGGGATGACTACTCAAGAGAGTCTCTGCGTGTCTAGCTGATCTCTCTTTTACTAAACTGTAACAGTCAGCCACGCTATGACAGATGTGGTGCTAAGCCCTGGTATACAAAGGGGTGTGCGTGTGTTCCTGCATGTGTATGTATGCTAGTTCTTGTTTTGCTTTGTTTCGTTTTTATCTGCTAAAATTTACTGAACTCTGACAATATGCCACACACTGGACCAAACACTTAGTGTGCATCATCTCAGGCACCCTCACAACAACCACGAGGTAACTACAAGGACCTCCTTTCCTACAGGTGAGGAAATGGGCTAGAAGAGCTTTCGGCCTGATGTACAGCTAGTCGGTTTTAGATCCCAGGTCAGAACTGGATCTCTCTTACAAGAGGCCTAGGTCCTAACCAGTTTCCTGTACCAGATGTGTAGCCAGATAATGGCAGCCCAGCAGGAGAAAGGGCTCTACAGGAGCAACTTTCACCCTTGACAGATGAGATCTGTAACGTCTGCTGTGACAGCACCTGGCTCAGAGGAGTCAGTCAAACATTACTGCTGGGTGAATGGAATCTTAAGGCAGAAAATGAACTAACCTCAAACTCCAATCCAAGTAGACTTTGATTCAGACTCATTAAGTAGTAGTGTTTATAACTTTTGTGAAAAATCAGATATCACCACTCCAGGATACGCATCTGGTATATTATCATTAAAGTTGGCCCTGCTTGTGGTTAGGTCATGCTGTGTTTGTTACATTCTAGCTTCTGGGAAAATAAATAGCATTTAATCTAATATCCAGTTTTTTAATCAAATCAGAAAGGTAGATCAGAAAAAACTAATGTAATGCATATCGACTAGTACAAAAGAAGTCACACTGATGACGTGGTGTGCTTATCTTGGCAGAAAATAAAATAGCAAGAGTGGGGGAGATTGTCCCAGATGAATAAATTGGGTGGCATGGGAAAGCCTGTTGTCTAGAGAGTAGATTCCTGAAAAGACGAGGCTGATCATTTGCACCTATTTATGCAAAGATTCCTCTTTGATAAAATGTAGAATTTGACAACTTCAGACACAGTCGCTTATATGAACATTTGTCTAAAATCCTGCATGAAAACATACCACAATAACTGTGCTTTCCCAGTTCATAACAGCGAATGAAGAACACTGAACATTTACTGACTGGCATGGCTCTAACGTCTGCCACTGTGCACCTCCCAGAAGGCACAACAGCAGGTGGCTGAGTCTTGTTTCCCTACATTGTGAACGGTGAGGGTAGACGTGGATATTTCAGGTATCTTGTCTACCTCAGATTTACCCAGCGGAATGCCTGCCTCCATTGTGACGGTGTTGTCAGATGAAATGTGCAGCAGGTGCTGCACGGCTTGACCAGGGCTTTCTTGATACCAGTATATGGACGTCGTAGAAATTGTTACACCACATGCCACATTCCAGGTTGGGTGTTTTTGACAGCTCTTTAGTACGGGAAGTTGAGGGTGCTCTCGATGACCTGCACCATGCACACACACTGAAAAATAAGGGGAGGAAAGAGTAGTGAGCAAAAACTTAGAAATTTTTAAGAATTACAAAATTAGAGATATCTATCAAAGGGAATTGGGGGAGGAAAATCACTTACACATGCCAAGAACTACCAGAGGTAATGCTGGGAAGAGTGACAGCATGTCTGAATGAACTGCACTCTCCTCCACGGCAGCCTGCAACCACGGCTGGGAGGAGTCTCAGACCATTGTGGCTTGGCTGAGTCACCAAGTCACATTTCCCATTGGGGAGGTTGAACATGACTCTCTTGCCTCATTGCGAAGGAGTTTCCTCACCACCAGTTTTCACATCCAATCTATGTGAAGAACAGCAGTGCAAAGTCCTCCACCTTAGATCAGAACACATAGTACAGACGGCCATCTTATAATTCTGAGAGGACTCGTTTATCCAAACAGTGTTCATTAAGCTCCCAGTATGTGCAAGGCAGTATGCTAAGTTCTTTGGGTGTAATAAAGATGCAATGATATGGCACCTAACTGTGGAGAGATGTGTAATGGGGTGACCATGTGACAATGCTATGATCTTTGTCCTCTCTCCTTTCTCCCACTGCCTGTCACAGAATAAATCCTCAATAACCCCTGTGAGCTGTCAGGCCAGAGTTGGTGGGAAGAACAGAGGGTGGTCCAGGCTGTGTCATGCATCACTGCGCCCACAGAGAACTTCTGTAACCAGCTGGAGAGACTTTTCTTTGTCAGTGTGCTTACGTCTGTTGAGCTACCCACACACCCTACAGCTTAGAGAGGTCCTGGCATCTTCAGGGGTCTCAATACTCTATTCTGGTTTGTTTGCTTCTGTTTAAGATTCAGGTTTATGTCCTCTCCCTCAGCCACCTGAGCAATATATCTCTACTACACCCCAGCTCCTCCTCTATGAATCTGGCTTTCCTCTTTCTGAATTCCTGTTTCCTTTTTGTCTGTTATTCTTTCTCTAACCCAAGACATTCAATCTATCCCAGGGTAGTTTTATAAACTGCTCTTCCCCAATCCACCAAAAGTTGCTGTTTTCCAGACTTCTCTTCTCACTTTTTATGCTCTGCCTGAGGGATCTCTTCCCATTCTTGGCTTTAATTATCTTGAGGGAATGGGGGAAGGGATGATAGGAGGAAATTACAGGTCCATCTCCATCGTACCCCTTCTCCTGAGCATATCTGTCGCCAACTAGGTGCCTCAAGAAACTCAAAGGTGGGTTTGGAAGCAATTAACTGTTTTTCCAAGTTGTTTCTTTTCCTTTTGTGTGATAAGGAGATATAACCACCAACCATCCTGAAACTGACCAAGCCTCACCACAAGAGCTACACCAAGACTTTTGCCTTATTTTTAATGCAAAGATCTCTCCAGGAGGAGCTTAGGTCTCATTATGTGGAAGCATGTTCTCCAACTGAGCCTATGCAAGCGAATACCCACCTCTCCCTTTGGAATATTCATTCCCCATTGAAATATAAGTTCCTGCTTCCCTTTGTTGGGGGACGCCATGACTTTGGAAATGATTCCTCATGGCCTCTTATTTGCTGCAAATATACTTTACATTTTGAGACAACTTCCACTGATGTAGAGTATTATTTAACTCAGCAGGTGAGTCCACTTGGTTCGGTAACATATCCATATATCCAGCTGACTACTGGGCATGTTCAAGTGTCTGACGTAGGACCTCAAACTGACTTTGTACATAGCCCATGGTGAACTCATTCCCTCCCTCCAGCCCATCTCTTCTTCCTTTCTCCGTGAAGGACTTTGCTATCCACTTTGTCAAAGCCAGGAATCTGAGTGTCAGCCTCAATTCTTCCCTTTAAGTAGACTTAAGACCTCGCTCAAGGTCACAGAGCTCATAACGGGCACAGCAGGAGTTAGCGAGGGGTGAAGATGGGGGTTTAGGGTGGTGTGGGAGTTCACAGCAGAGCACCGGGCAGCCCCACTTGGGAAATGGGGATGATGTTGTTCTGTAAGGAGATGAGTGAGGAGCTTGTTCCTCCTGTTGGCCACGCAACTCATTATCACCAGTTCACAGAGCTCACTCTTCCCTGGAGTCAGGCACTGAGATGGTGCTAGAAGAAGATGGTGTTTTATTAGGACAACGGGGAAAACGAAATGAAGGAACAACCTGAAAACAGAGCAAAAGTAATTTTCAGTCCCCTCTACCCAGAGCCCTTCTCACACATACTGGGAGGTCTTAGCCTTGACCTAGGCCTTCAGTAGAGGGTGGGGTGTCAGGCTCTTTCACAAGCAGGCAGATCTTAATTATACATTTCTAACCACAAAACAGAAGCTTAAAGAGACAGACGATGAGTTAATAATCTGAGGGACAAATTTCCTTCAGATCCTTTAGACTTTGCCTTTAGTAATCATTTGTACCAATGCTAGTAAACTGTACATAAACTTTGAATTTTCAGTTGAAAAGGTATCAATTCAGCTTAGATCTGAAACAGTTTTTTTCCCCCCACAAATAGCAGTGGAGGAGTTTCCTGTTTGGGGCTGGAGGATTAGTAATACAGGTTTTCTTATCTTTTCTTTTCTTTCCTTTTCTTTTCTTTTCTTTTCTTTTCTTTTCTTTTCTTTTCTTTTCTTTTCTTTTCTTTTCTTTCCGTTCTTTGAGCTTCAAGAATCTGACTGGCTTTATGAGAAGATAGTGAATATAGTTATATCTTTTTTATGATTTTGCTTTAATACAGATATAAGAGCCACATAATTTCAGCAGTTGAACTACATAATTTTACAGACGAGAGAACAGAGGTCCAGAGAAGCTGGAGATCCACCCAAATTCCCGTGTGGGGTGGCACTAGAGGAGAAGTGGAAGGCAGAGGGCCTGGTGTCTCTCAAGGGTTGATTGCATCACCCTGCCACGAGAGTTATTATCTACCAACATGATCTGAGTATCAGGCCTGCTAATGGACAAGTGCGCTGAGAAGTTGGCAAAATTGTTACCAGTGCATCTAATCACTGACTCCTCTGCTGCAAAATTATTAACAGTTGGTTGGGCAGCAACTTAGAAACTGGATTTAGGGGCTGGCCCCGTGGCTTAGTGGTTAAGTGTGCGTGCTCTGCTACTGGCGGCCCAGGTTTGGATCCCGGGCGCCCACTGACGCACCACTTGTCAGGCCATGCTGAGGCAGCGTCCCACATGCAGCAACTAGAAGGATGTGCAACTATGACATACAACTATCTACTGGGGCTTTGGGGAGAAAAAGGGGGGGGAAAAGGAGGAAGATTGGCAATAGATAAAAAAAAAAAAAAAAGTAACTGGATTTAGGAATTGACTTCCAGTCTCAGCTTTTCGCCATTTTGTGGTAAATCTCCAGAGAGGCCTTTACCCTTGAAATTATTTGCAAAGTATTTCATTTATGCTTTTTTCAGAGGAGATGGTCAGATTCTTTTTTTTTTTTTTTTTTTTTTTTTTGTGAGGAAGATCAGCCCTGAGCTAACATCCATGCCAATCCTCCTCTTTTTGCTGAGGAAGACTGGCTCTGAGCTAACATCTATTGCCAATCCTCCTCCTTTTTTTCCCTTCTTCTCCCCAAGGCCCCAGTAGATAGTTGTATGTCATAGTTGCACATCTTTCTAGTTGTTGTACGTGGGACATGGCCTCAGCATGGCTGGACAAGCGGGCGTCGGTGTGCACCGGGGATCCGAACCCGGGCCGCCAGTAGCAGAGCACGCGCACTTAACCGCTAAGCCACAGGGCCGGCCCCGGTCAGATTCTTAAATTGTTAGTTTGTAACAGTGCTATCCCATAGAAATAAATGTGAGTCACCAATTTGAGATACAAATTAATTTTTTTTAGCTGCTGTGTAAAAAAAAGTAAAAAGAAACAGGCAAAATTAATTTCTGGACTTTTTATTTAGTTCAAGATATCCAAAATATCATTTTAACATGCAACCAGTATAAAAAATTATTAATGATATATTTCACTTTTCTTATCTTAACTTCAAAATCTGGTTTCTATTTTACACATGCAGTCCGTCTCAGCTTGGCTTATTGGCCTGGCTACATTTCAAGTGCTCAATAGCCACAGGTGGCTAGTGGCTACTGGATTTACCAGCACAGATTCTCCACCAAATGCTTCAGAAACAGTGAGCTGGTTGATTTTTGGAAAGGGGGCTTCTGACCAGACAGCTCCCTGAGTGGGTGCCAGCCTGCGCACTAGCGTCTCTTTTTCTCATCCATTATCTGCAGTGGACTGGGGGAGGTGGCGTCCAGGAGAGACTGGGATGTTGATGGATAACCCCAGGGTATCCAAAGGGACCTGGAGGTGGTGGAAGTTGCCAGGCCTTGACGAGTAGGGAGTCTGACTGCTTTTTGCACAGGGGCCAGGGTGGCTCGTGGGGCTGTACTGATTCCAGGCAGTGCAATAGTATATGCCCATGTGTGCTTCTCTCCCCTCAGCACCCACAGGGTACACCCAGTGCCATACTTCACCTCCAACATGGTAACTTTATCTGCTTTTAGGACTGAATCCCACTGCACATCTGCCTTGAACATGGCCCAGTCAGAGGAGTCTCTCAGGGTTCTTGCCCTCCAATGATTATGGTGTCACAGCTGCATTCCCAAAGCTGCTCAAAGGAAGTTTAAAGGTGCTTACCGCTCCTTCAAGGTTGTTTTTCAGAGCTATGTCTGGAAGAGATACCAGTGTCGATTGGTCTGAACCAGATCAAGCCTCACTGCAAGGGCAGTTCCTGGGCAGATGACATGAAGATCACCAGAAAATGCCCTTTTTCCTCATCTTAATACTAAAATCTCTGCCATAACAGGAGCATACGCCTTATTCCCATAACATGTGATCTATGCGAGTGCAGGTTTTCAGCTTGCCCCTGCACCAGCTAATACCCACCTCTACATGTGATGACAAAACTTCACTTTTAAATATTCATTCCCCATCTGAAATAAAAGGACCTGTTTCCCTTTGTTCAGGGAGCGCCACGACTTTGGAAATGATTCCGTGTGGTCTGCTAATTGCTGCAAATATATTTTACTCTGTGTGTCAACTAATTCTGGTGGAGAGTCTGATCTTACCTCACCAGGGAGTGAACTCATTTTGGTTTGGTAGCAGTGGTACCAAGTGGATGTAGCTGACCGTGGTGTGGGCCATGCACGGCAGGGTGGCCAAGCTGAGCCAGGGTGGCCGTGCACAC